CGCTTGGGCAGCCCTTTCCGCGTGGCTGGGAGTGGGAGGGAGGAGGGGGCGGAGTTGGGGCGGGGCTGGGGGTGGGGAAATGGGCGGGGCCAGGGCCCGTGGAGGGTCCTCTTTTTTTATTTGTTAGATATGGTAACCCTACCCTCTACCCCGTCCCCAGCGCTGCCCTGGGGGGAGTTGTTCTGTCCTGTGGGGACCAGCCAGGGAAGAGGGGGCTGCAGCAAGAGAGACCTGGGTTCTCCTGCTCTCAGTCAGTGGTGAAGGGGTTTAAGGAGCATCAAAGGGAACATGGAAATGACAGTCAGTCCAGTCAGTCAGTCCTTCCATGCCTCTGCTGCCTGAGATAACAATGTAAGTATAGAAACTGAATGGAGAGGGCGGGGAGGGGAGCAGAAGGTCTCCGGAGATTTCAGGGACTCTGGGACGGGGGGCAGAGCCAGGGGGATTGGGAAGTCTCTGGGGGCATTGGGAGCCCCATGGGGGAATAGAAGATGTGGGCAATTGGGAGGTCTCTGGTGCAGAGGGGAAGTTCCTGGGGAGGGATCAAGGCGGCTCTTAGGGGAAGCCTTTGCCTGGGGGACACAATCTCTCAGGGAGTGGGGAGGCTTTGACACAGAATGGGACATGGGGCTGCTCACTCTTCACTAGTCCCCCACCCCACCCTACCCCGGTTCCCCCAGGCGCTTTGAGTGAATATCCTGTAAAAGCCCTCCTGATTTTCCAACTATTTCCACAGAGCAGGATTCCAAAGCATTTGGCAGAATTCCCCCTGCTCCCCAGTGCCTGGAACAGTGCAGTTCGCCCTGTCCCACTGCGATGCGCCCTTGGCGGTGCTGGGTCCAGTGTCTGCTCCACGCTGACACAGCATGCTCAGTGCACAGGGCTGCAGTTAGTCCCCCCCGAGGCGGGCGAGCGATGCAGCCGTAATCGCAGTCACTGCCCCAACCTGAAACAGACACTTGCTGCCGCTGGAGCCAGAGCCCTTCATGGGGCCCCGATTCTTCGCTGCTTTCCTTGGGGAGTTACCTGTGTCCTGAGCCCAGCTGTCCAGGCTGATTCCCCACTCTGGCACTTTGAGTGCAGAAGGTGGGGGCCTGCAAGGATTCTAAAAGTTAATACTGGCCACTCCAGGCTAGTATTAAACTTCCAAGGTTACAGCTTTTCTCTGACCTTGGATGGGTCACCACTCCCTCATTTGAGAACCAGGAAGGAGCACTTGGGAATTCCTTCCTGGGGGTACCCTCAAGCGCTTTCACCCTCCCCCTCCAGGGAAGAGCTGAGAAAGAAAACCACCAGCTAATTAAACAACATATGCACAAGCCTCTTAGGACACACACACACAAAAAAAAACCCCACCACCAACAAAAAAATAAACAAACAAAAAAACAATCCTGTTCTTGAAAAAGGTAAATTTTATTAAAAACAAAAAGAAAGAAAATACACCTGGAACTTAGGCTTTTGCTAGATTTTAAAAACCCACTTACAAAAATTAAACCTCAAGAATAAACTTCTTGAGGTCCAGCTTAATGGTTACAAGCAAAACAAAGCATTTGGGGGTTAGCACAGAGGAGTCCATAAGCCAATAAGAAATAAAAGAAATAACCCTAATCGTGTCTTTCTAGACATTCCCATGTCTACTTACATATCTGGGAGTTCCAAATAAGTAGTCTCTAGGTATGATCTGATGGTTTTTCATACCTGGCTTAAAGCTTCCTACAGCATAGTTCAGCCCCGTTCCTGCTCATCGTCTCTTCTCTCCAGAGACAACAACAACAGACAAAAGGGAAGTTTTTTTCCCAATTTTAAAAAGTTCTAGCCCTCCCATTGGCTCTTTTGGTCAGGTGCCCACTCCCGTCTTTTTACCAATGGGCTTTTTTTTAACCCTTTACAGGTAAAGCAAGTAGAGATCAGCTACTAACAGGGATTTTATAGCTAACTGGCTGGCTGGGTGTCCATAAAAGGGTGCTACCCCCCCCCCTTCATTTATCACACCAGTGAATCAGGTAAGGAGAATGGTGGGAACAAAGGAGAAAATGGGAGGAGAAACAACAGTGAGCAGAAGAGAGAGGGGAGAAGGGGGCACCCTTAAAGTGGGCACTGTCCTGGAGGCAGGCCCGGGATAGAACATACACAGTCCCCTGCAAGTAACAGAATCTGGGACCTTTTCCCCATCGTCTCAGTAACTGTGACAATCTCCCTTGTCCCACAGCCAAAATCAAGGGATGGTGGTTGGCAAATTGCCAGCTCCCCCCTTGCAAACCAGCCAGGGTGTGGGGTTCATTGACTAAAACCACTAAGGCCACATTGCTTGATATTTGGGGTGTGAGCTCTCACTCTGATTGCAAATCCTTGGGGGCAGGGCCTGTCTCTGTGTTGTGTCTGTACAGCATCTGGCACAATGGGGCCCTGGGCCATGACTGGGGCGCTACGCGCAAGGTAATACAAATAATGAATGATAACTGGGGAGCAGCTCACTAGCCAGGGGGTTGGTTGGGGTGCTAGGAGCTTTTGGCAGCTCTGATTTTCTCTCTGGAGTTAGGGCTGCAAAAGAGGGCCCACCCAGGATCCCACCCTGCAATCCACTCAAGCAGCAGGGCTTCCCTTTGGGGACTCGGGGAGCAGGATGTAACCCCGTAGCTCAGGGCCACGCTCTAACCACTAGGCAGCATGCCAGGACATGTCTGGGCCGACTGAACTGTTGTCCTGAAGGGCAGGCTGGGGCTGGAGCCGAGATGGAAACATTCCCTTTGGAACTGAAGAACAAACAGTGGCATCTGCCCACTGCTTGCTGCCAAGGACATTTTGGCCCAAGAGGCCCCAGGGAGGATGGTGCATGACAGGCTGTTTGTGCTCTCACACTGCCTCTGGAGGCAGCAGGGCCAGCAGCGTCCCTTCAAGGGTAGTGGGAAGGAAAGGCCTGTCTCAGGCGATTAGCATTGGGCTGCAGAGTCCTTCGCTGCAAGTCACAAGCTCAATCCCACCCCTGACTGGCAGATGTCCCGATTTTATAGGGACAGTCCCGATATTTGGGGGTTTTTTTTATATGGGCTCCTATTACCCCCCACCCCTGGTCCCGATTTTTCAACTTGCTATCTGGTCACCCCACTGTCTGCCTGCTGTTGGATGAGGAGAGTTTGTGGGGGGGGGGCTCATGGCAGCCCCTGGTGGAGAAGGGTCCATCATGCAGTCAGGCCCTTTGTTGTCCAAGAAGCTGAGGACTGAGTGGGGTGAGGAGATTCCCCCAGTTGTGGGGGGGATGTTGGAGGGGGCAGGTGGGGGGGGGGAGCTAGGCACTGCAGCAACGGTACACACTATGTGGGATTTCAGTCTCCCGCACTAAATCCCCTTTTACACTAACTAGCGCCCAAAGAGACCTCTGCGGCAGCCAGGAGAAGGGTAAGGCCGTGCTCAATATTATTCATATTACCGTAGCGCCCAGGAACTGTACATTGTTGATTGTGCATTATTATGGTAGTGCCCAGGAGCCCCTGGCATGGCCTGGCACTCCACTGTGCTAGGCACTGTACATTGTTGATTAGGTGTATTACGTTAGTGCCCAGGAGCACTCATTGCGCCAGGTGCTGCACAGACACAGACCAGAAAGATGGTCCCATTAGCATCATTAATGCCATTTCAATAGCACTTTTCCTCCAGGAGGATCCCAGAGTTGCTTACAGATGCTGATAAGACACCAGCTCTAGAGAGGGGTAGCTTCCTCCATCAAAGTACAGCCACCTCTGGGCTAGAGCACAGCCACTGCCAGCAGCACTACATAGCCTTCTAGGACAGGAAGTGCTCCATTTGGCTGAATTTAGGTGACTGGAGGTAATTCCCAGAGCTGGAATTTGGCCAGGATGCTGGGGCTTGAAGATCCCCCAGCCAGAGTACAATGACCAGAGGAGGTGGAACCCTGGCCCCAGGATGACTAGGAGGAAGGGGGTGAGATTAGGGTGGGTATGGGGTCACTTACTTTGCTGTAAGGACTTTAATCCGCGGAGGAAGGTAGCAGCGAAGAGGAAGCAGCAGCCGGCCTGGTCGAAGTGCACCTCCCCGATGATGCTGAAGGAGGCGCCCAAGCAGATGGGCCCCATGGCAGCGTACTGCAGCAGGTGGTGGCGCTGACCCAGCAGCACCTTGGACAGGATCAGGGTGAAGAGGGGCGTGGTGGTGTACACCATCTGGGCAAAGTCCAGCTGCACGTAGTTGAGGCCCAGGTTTCCGAAGGCTACGCTGGTGCAGAAGGTCAAGCTCAGAAGATAGACTCTGGCCTTAGTTCTGGCGCCCAGGGCCGTGCCCCCGTCCCCATGTGCCCGCAGCCTGGCCAGCGGGTAGCCCACCAGCACGGCCGTGAGCATGTGCAAGGATGACAGCAGCACGGGATACCGGAAGTTGTGGATGGTGAAGATCCACTTGTTGAGGCTGGACATGGTGGTGCCAGTGGCCAGCCAGACAAACACGGTGAGCAGGAGGGGCAGAGCATGCACGGGCGGCCCAGGGTCCGGCTTCCAGGGGCGACGCGCCCAGCCTCCATCGGCAGAGGTCATCCCTGCTTCATCTCTGTGGCAGGAGGACAGACACATTTTGGAGGGCGGCTCAGCTCCTGGCCCAGCACGAGGAGAGGCTGGTCCCTTCCCAACCAGCCTGGGGGCTTGATGCTGGGGGTGCAGAGAAGAGATGCAAGCTTCTTGGGGTTCTACCCCAGTGCCCATGGGTGCGACAAGGTCTTGCCCTTCAGCACTCTCCCACTGCACGGCCCATGCTGCTCTCCCAAATGCCCCAGCTGGCTGCAGTGAGTGGTGGTTTTGTAGCTTCTCCTCTTGTTTCCTGCCTTAGGGTACCAGACCAGTCACTCCTGGTGACTCATCAGTGTGTCCAGCTCTGCAGCCTGAGCATCCCAACACTGCTTGTAGGATTCCCCTGGTAGCAGAGCTGGGGTTGGAAGATCACAGGGAGGCAGAGCTGGGAAAAGCCTGATTACTGCCGGAGACAAGCTGCAATGGCAGATCGAGACTCCACGGTCACGCCCGGCTGCGAGCCATCATCCCTGCCCTGGAGCTGGTTAAGCGAGTGGAGATGCTGCAAGCCCTCTGCAGCAGGAAGCGCCTGCTCTCGCTCTCGCCTGCCAGGCTGCAGCTGTGAGGTGCCAAGGCCATGTGCAAACCGATCCCAGCCGGCGCCCAGGAGCAAGCAGAAAGTTGGGGGGGGGTGTTGTGTGCAAGGCTCCTCCCCACCAGGGCCGCGGGGGGGCTTGCAACAACAACAGTCGTCTGTGCGCACACACGAGTCGGTAAGGTGAACACGGCCAGACAGCTGGGGCCCTGCCCAGGCCTGCTCAGAGCCAGTCGCCAGCTGCTTCCCACCGCCACAGGGAGGGGGACGAGGGGGGTGCAGATCGTAACCAAAAAAACAACAACGTCCTAAACATCAATGGTCTCCATGGAAACGCAGGAGCTGTTGTGAGGCTGCGTCAGGGTCCCAGGCTGAGTCACTGCAGGAAACTGACTCACTGCGCTGGGAGGAGAACCCTGGCTGGCAGCATGGGGGATCCTTAGTCTGAATGCTGGGCCTGGAGCCATGGGGCCAGGAGGGGACTCTGCATAGAAACAGGCCCAAGGGAAAGCCAGGGGAGCTACCCGGGCAATGAAAAATAGGGGCTGAGAATGGCAGAGCCGGGGGAGGTGGAATCAGACATTGTCAGAAGCCTTACAGCAGCGCAGTGTATTCAGGTAGGGGAAAAGGAACAAGCTGTACCAGTGTAAGGCTCCTGGTATAACTGTCCACACTAGCATGCTTGTACTGCTTTTGCTCTATCCCTAGAAAAATCACACCCTATCCAAAATACCTCTGTGGACCAGGCCTTCCCCACCAGGGTCCCAGGCACTAGCTCGGAACCACTCCTCAGTTATTCAGTTTCTTTAGTGATGTCTAGTACACTAGGGCCTAGAGGTCCCAGAACTAAGCCCCACTGTGCTAGTGCTGTGCAGCCAGAGGGAGGGGCAGTCCCTGAGGACATCTCCAAGAGCTCCCAATCTCAACAGACAATGGACCCAGCAGGTGGGGGCAGAGCTGGGAATAGAATGCAGGTCTCCTGGCTCCCAGTCCAGTGCACTATCCACTAGGCTTCATTGAACACAGGAAGTGCCAGACAGGATCAGAGCCAGCACCAGCATCCTGTTGACAGTGGCCAGCACCATGTGCTGCAGAGGAAGGTGTCTGAGCCCCACCGTAGCAGATGGGGGATAATCTGCCAGACTGCCCCCACATTAGGTCTCACCCTGGCGCATGCCCTGAAGCAGGAGATTTACTACTCTGCCCACAATGTAGCTCAGCAATAATGATGGTAACGCTGGATATTCTTGTTATCCCTATAAATCAGGGATGGGAAACACAGGGCCACATCCAGCCTGCCAGAACATGTGATTTGGCTGGCCAGCCAGAGGAGACAATGCCAGAGTGAGGGAGGGTGTGAGTGGCTCTTCCAGTGCGGAGCAAAGGATAGTGAAATGGGGTGATAGGCGGCTCTTCCCACTGCCTGGAGGAGGAGAGGATGTTGCACCCTGGCACCTGCTGGAGCATAGGCAGGAGGTGGCAGCTCCTGGTTGCAGCAGGCCCACTCCAGGATGACCCTGGTGGACAGCGCCTGTGGATTAACAAACAGGGGAGCAGGTACCAGGGCAGGGCTGCTGTCTGGAGGCGTGGGCTCATCTCCCTTCTGGGAGATTATGGACCTGAACGTGGGCAGGCACGGGTGTGTGCCACAGCATGGAACAGAGGTGTCAGGGCAGGACGCGCTGTCCTGGCACATGTTCTCGCAGCACCCCAGGACAGCTTCTTCCTTCACCGCAACAGCCTGCCAGAGGGTTTAGTGGATTTTGTGGCTCTCTACTACCCTAAAGTTGCCCATCCCTGATAGAAATGTCCAATCCTTTTTCAAATCTTGCTAAATTTGTGACCTCACTGACACCATGTGGCAGGGAGTTCCACAGTTTAACCACCCATTGTGTGAAAAAAGCATTCCCTTTGAATTTCCTACCTGTGACAGGGTTTTACCTCATCCACCATTGGAGTGGCTGCTTCAGTTTCCCCACTCGGGCCAGCTCACTGTCTCACAATTTGGTGGCCCCCTGGCTCCTGGCCCTTCCATCACTCTAACTGGAGGTGCCGCTTCATGTGCTTCTCAGTGATTTATCCCTCCACCCAAACCACAAAGTCCGGGGTAAACAAAAAGACCAACAAAACAGACATTCAGCAATTGTGCTGGCTCTTCCCTGTTATTATTATTATGTATTTGTATTGCGGTGGTGCCCAGGAGCCCCGCTCACAGACCAGGACCCCCTCGTGTCGGGTGCTGTACAGACATAGAGCAAAAAGAGGGGCTATGCCCCAAGGAGCTCACAATCACAGTCAATTGGGGTATACCCTGGCAGGGTCACCCCATATCCTCCCCCTCCCTGGCGATAACTCCTCTATTAGCCCCCTCCTGGGCGCAGCGGCCCATTTGCCCTCATGGCACAAGGCAATACAAAGGGGATTTCCTCCCACCCTGGATACAAGTCCTAAGCTGGACCCTTAAGTAAGTGTGCCAGCTCCCGTCCACACCCTCCTGCACTGTCCTGTGCAGGCTACTTCCTTCTAGAGATATCCTTCCCTAGGGCCTCCAGATCCTCTCAGACACTGCTATGGGCCCTGCCTGTCCCACTCATCATCCCCCGGTTCTTTCCCTCTGAGAAGGGGAGCTGAGAAAGGGATCTCCATCAGTCCCACCCCGTGGAGATCTCCTCCAGGTCCTGGTCTTCCTCTTCCTCACCCCTTCCCTTCCCACTGAGCAGGCTCATTCTTCTAGGAAGCCCCTGACGCAAACACTGGCCCAAGCCCAACACCAGGGGTGCAGATAACTAGGCATTGGGGAGGCTGAGCCCGGCTCCCCTTAAGGGTCAGATAACTCCCTACCACCCTGCTGCAGTGCCATTGTTCTGCATGATGAGACAGGGAGAAGAGAAGATCCTGCTCTCCCTGCTCTGTCCCATTTGTAACTGGGGGACTTATGTTCTTCTGGAGGTGCTCACTTGCTTCATAACAGGGCCAGCTCCAGGCACCAGCTTCCCAAGCAGGTGTTTGGGGAGGCCATTCTGGAGAGGGGCGGCACATCCACCTATTCGGCGGCAATTCGGCGGATGGTCCCTCACCCCCACTTGGAGCGAAGGACCTCCCGCCGAATTGCCGCCACAGATCGCGATCGCGGCTTTTTTTTTTTTGGCGCTGCTTGGGGCGGCAAAAACCCTGGAGCCGGCCCTGCTTCATAAGAACATAAGAACAGCCATACTGGGTCAGACCAAAGGTCCATCTAGCCCAGTATCCTGTCTTCCGACAGTGGCCAGTGCCAGGTGCCCCAGAGGAAATGACCAGAACATTCTATCTATCCCTTTTTTAATGATTCCCAACATTCTGTTCGATTTTTTGACTGTCAGGCCTGATGCTTTTGGTTGAAATCAGAGTTCCCTTCTCCCAGGTGGGCGACCTGCCCCGGCTGATGAGCCCCACCTGCCTGAGAGAGGTCCAGAGAGGTGCAGTGACTTACCCTGCACACTCTGCAGGGCAGTAACAGAAAGCAGATCTCCTGAGACCCCCGGCTCCCTGCCAAGGACTCAGTACTGACCTAGGTGCTGTGCTCCACTCAGGTTTGCTGCCACTGCACCTGGTAGGGCCAAGGTCTGGAAATGTGGCAACTGCATGCAAATGAGTTAATGCCTTGGTCTGCATATTGCAGAATATGCATTCTCTTGTTGGCACCCAGCTGCATATCTGTGATGCAAAGGCAGGAGCCTACCTGTCAGTGCCATGGAGCAGGTGAGAGGGGACCACACCAACAGAAACTTGGCCAGCGCTGTGTGCTAACCAAGCAATGCACATGGAGCATGGAGGCCTAGGGAAGAAGACACGCAATTTCAAACCACATGCCAGGCTGCCAGGAGCATGTGCAGTGGGGAGAGGCATTGGCCCCAGAGCCTGCAGGGATCGGCTTTGCCCTCAGCCCCGGGAACCGCATTCCCCAGGCAGGTGAATTGTAGATAGTTCTCTGAAAACGTCCACACAGTGTGCGGCGGCAGTCAAAAAAGCAAACAGGATGTTAGGAATCGTTCAAAAAGGGATAGAGAATAAGACGGAGAATATCTTATTGCCCTTATATAAATCCATGGTACGCCCATATCTTGAATACTGTGTACAGATGTGGTCTCTTCATCTCAAAAAAGATATAGGAACATAAAATCATGAGTGGTGTGGAGAAAGTGAATATGGAAAAGTTATTTACTTGTTCCCATAATATAAGAACTAGGGGCCACCAAATGAAATTAATGGGCAGCAGGTTTAAAACAAATAAAAGGAAGTTCTTCTTCACACAGCTCACAGTCAACCTGTGGAACTCCTTGCCTGAGGAGGTTGTGAAGGCTAGGACTATAACAGGGTTTAAAAGAGAACGAGATAAATTCATGGAGGTTAAGTCCATTAATGCTATTAGCCAGGATGGGTAAGGAATGGTGTCCCTAGCCTCTGTCAGAGGGTGGAGATGGATGGCAGGAGAGAGATCACTTGACCATTGCCTGTTAGGTTCACTCCCTCTGGGACACCTGGCATTGGTCACTGTTGGTAGACAGGATACTGGGCTGGATGGACCTTTGGTCTGACCCAGTATGTCGATTTTTATGTTCTTATGAGAGCCTCGTAGGGACACTGACCTCTGCAGCATTCTGTGTCTGCACCCGCGGATCACCTGACCATCCTCATCTGTTCTCGCTATTCCCCAGTTGTGAGCTGCATCCACCAATTCACTGAGCCAGCTGGCCCTCAGCGTAGGGCTCCTGGCCCACTAGTGCTGCTCTGCTGGATGGCACATGCTGTTCCTCAGTGCCAGGGCTGTTTTTCCTTCATGCCCTGTTGTGACCAGCTTTCCCTGCAGTGCCAGGCCCCTGCCCCATCTCCACCGGGGCTCACAGCCCTCATGCTGTTATGTTCATTTCCCTCTGGGCAGAAGACATGGCCCTGGGCACGCACCAACCTTGGAGGGCAACGTTGCCACTGGCACACTTCTGCGACCAGCGCAGGGGCCTGTGCAGGGAGTTGTTCAAGGTAACAAAAGTCCAGCTCAGCCTGTCAGATAAAATTCCTTAGGGAAGCCAGTACAAGCTGAAGACAAATAGCCTGATACAAACTGGATTATTTAGGTTTAAGAGCTGTGATAAGGGGCTTCAAGGCTCCTGGGAAGGGCACGGGTTGGCATGGCAACAGGCTGAAAGAGCATAGAAACAGGTTACAGTTGAAATCAGTGAAATGTGTTTTGACTGGTTGTTAATGGAGTGAGGTTGCCCGCCTCTTGGACACTGTTTATTTCTGGGGTTAGAGGGGCCCCCAAAGGGGACCTGAGGACTGAAAGGAGTGAGCTTCACAATCATGGCTGCCTCCCCACCATCCAGGTAGCCATCATGACACTGTTGGGCCTTCGTCATCCTGATCCTGAGATACGTCCAGGCCAGACTGGGCCAGAGAGAATGAACCAACAGCATCGCGCTTTCTGCTGCCCAAACAGCACCTGGACTGTGAGACGCGGGTTCCCACTCTCCTCTGGGCATCCTTTTCCTTCCCCACCTCAATGCTTCCCTCTTTGCCTGTGTAATTAGAATCAGGCTTAGCCAGCCAAGACAGCATCTTGTGCAAGGCTGCTGTAAGCTCGGACCAGAGAGGCAGCTACAGGCAATTCTCTAAACAGCCAGATGCTGGTTCAAATTGCTAGGTCTTGGTGCAGCTGATCAGAGCCCCAGCTGGGCATGTGTGTCTCCAGCAGCAGGAGTGCAAGTGAGAGTTAGCACCAGTGACAGATGCTGCATTTTCTATCTTCACTGTTCTTTTCTGTCCCCTTTTGCACGCCTGTTGTTTCCTCTTCAAGACAACAGGCTCAAATGCCAATAACAATAGCTCCAGCCTATCTCAACTAACTTTCTCTTCTCCCCCAAAGGATAGTTAACACCGTCTAGACTGTCAAACAGGCCTTTTCCCTGCAAAAACTCACAACAGCTAAAGAAAAAGGGAGTAACAGCTTTGGTTACGCTAAAAGCCTTAATATTTTTCATTTCAAATGCTTTAACCGATTTTCCTTCTTTTTCCTGTCTCTCTTCCCTTTTATAGAGCTCTTTCATGGTGGCTTTTACAATAGGAATCACCAGCGATAACTTGTTATCAAACCCTGGACCACGATGAACCATTTCATGCTGTAACAACGAACAAGAGTTTTACTAACATCTTGTCCCTTGCTGGCCTGAGACTGCCACTTCTCAGCAAAGAAGTGGACTGATAGCGGTTAGAAGAGGGATGGCTAGCACAGCCCATAGCTTCCCTCCAGGGGGAACGTGGAAGTCTCCTTGGCCAAGGTGAAACACTGTCTGCTGGGACCCATCCCTGTGCCAGGTCTTGGGCACGGCTGGCTTATCCTGCAGTCAGCCCCTCTGCCCCCAGGGTTACTCAGCGGGACCGATGTCTATTTAATAGCCACCCTCCCTTCATTTAGGATACGTTCCCATGGCAGAAGACCAACTAATCGAAATTAACATGATCAATCCTTTGACCTTAACGTGGTGTGATGGGGTGTGCTCCCCACACTCACCCTAAAACATAGGCTGGACGGGCCAATTAACCTATTAGGCTGCAAGCTGGGGGAGATTTCAGGGGAGAGCTGCTGGGAAGAAAGCTGCAGTTACTCCTTTGGGACAAGGGAGAGAAAGAGCTTGAGATCCAACTTGAGACCCAAGAGGAAGGATTTAAACACAAAAAGGAAGCTTTCAAGAAGTGGAAACTTGGATATACTCGGGAGGAGTATAAAAATATTGCTCGAGCATGCAGGGGTGTAATCAGAAAGGCCAAAACACAACTGGAGTTGCAGCTAGCAAGGGATGTAACAAGAAGGGTTTCTACAGCTATGTTAGCAACAAGAGAAAGGTCAGGGAAAGTGCGGGACCCTTAATGAATCGGGGAGGCAACAGTGACAGATGATGTGGAAAAAGCTGAAGTACTCAATGCTTTTTTTGCTTTTGTCTTCACAGACAAGGTCAGCTCCCACACTGCTGTCCTGGGCAACACAGTATGGGGAGGAGGTCAGCAGCCCTCAATGGTGAAAGAACAGGTTAAAGACTATTTAGAAAAGCTGCACATACACGAATCCATGGGTCCAGATCTATTGCATCCGAGGGTGCTGAGGGAATTGGCTGATGTGATTGCAGAACCATTGGCCATTATCTTTGAAAACTCGTGGCAATCGGGGGTAGTCCCGGACAATTGGAAAAAGGCAAATATAGTGCCCATCTTTAAAAAGGGGAAGAAGGAGAACCCAGGGAACTACAGACCGGTCAGCCTCACCTCAGTCCCTGGAAAAATCATAGAGCAAGTCCTCAAGGAAACCATTTTGAAGCACTTGGAGGAGAGGAAGGTGATCAGGAACAGTCAAATGGATTCACCAAGGGCACGTCATGTCTGACCAATCTGATTGCCTTC